CTTTTTAAGATATCTCATAAATTTTCATTTCTATGCATAGAATTTTCAAGAAACTTTTTTTTACCCAATTAATTTGTTAATATGCCCCACTCACAAAAAGAAAATGTACAATTCAAATGTTGTGTTGTAAAAGAATTTCTTTCTACCTTGATATTGATAAAAAATATTAATATAAATATGTACCTATATTTGATCTGGTAACATTTTTAATAAAAGAATCAAGTACCACACATAATCCATCGCTTTAAAGATGTTTCAAAAACTACCTCAATAAATTAATAGTTTAGTTTACTCCTTACTGGTGATTTTTTTTAATACAGAAAAAATTCGTGTTCTACTTTAGTAGGTTCCTTACACCCCCTTGTCATTTTTAATAATAATGCATGCCGCTACTTCATATTTCTTACTGTGTATTTGTTATTGCCCAATACAATTTGCAGAGCTTTGTTTTCATTGTGCCCCAACTGAAAATTTTCTGGCTCCGCCACTAGTCAGCAGATGGAACCAACTAAAGGTATTTCAACTAAGTATCCATATATTTCCACTGAGGTTTTCTCATTCTCTTAACTGTATCCCATCTCCACATCAATGAAATTTCTCCATTAAACAGACTCATAATTCCTGATAGCACAAAAAAAAAAAAAAAAACTTCACCTATAGAACAGAGTCCACAACTTTACCTGTGCTGCAGCACTCCATAGATGCTGTTTTTCGCCCACATACCAGGGACACTATACTCAAGAATGGATTTAAGTGAGCGAGAACTGACACGCCCATAAGCAGCTTTATAGAAGCACCAGTCATGGAACGGACTTTGTTGTCATGGTCATTAGCCAAACAAACCACCAGACGCACAAATATCGTCTGTGACTGCTCATCAAGAATACTTGCTGGAAACTTCATTATAATGGCATGCAGCATTTCAAGTACAGCTTCTCTTCCAGAAGAATGTTCATATCTGCATCCAACACAAAATATCCGTATGAGAAGTCATAACAGAGTAACAACTCCAACAACAAATGACTCTGCCACAAACACTACAAGAATTCAATAAACTTGCCTGAGATTCGCAAGAAAGAAATCAAGATGCTGCTGCAAGCGTTTCTCTGACAGATGATAGTCAAGCAAAAATTGGAGTAAAATTTGACTACATTTCTTACGTATTGATTCCACTTGGCTGGTTATCATCAGCTCTGCAACCCTCTTGACGACATCATATATCTCAGGAACTACCAGCTTCCTATTCACTATTGATTTTAGAAGGGAAAGGGACACAATAGATGGATTTCTTTCTATGTCAACAAATAAAGGAAACTGAATTAACATGTGCAACTGATCTGCTGAAAGTGTAACACCAGTGTTATGAAGAAGCACAGTCAACAGCCTCAAACAAGACTCCACCAAAGGACTGCCAGCATTTGCTGAACGTTGAGCAATAAACAATAAAGAATTCTTTATCTTGTCAGACTGGGATTCAAGGGAGGGCAGAGGTAATCGTACCAGAGGAGAAAGGCATCTGAGTGCTGTCGTCACAATGTTCTCGTATTTTGAACTCAAGCAATCACCCAACAAGTGAACCAAAGGGTCTAACAGTGACAGCTGCTCCTCGTCTTTTCTGTTCAGTTTCATGCCCTTAATGTGATTTTGCAATAATCCAAGTGCAAAACCAGTAATTAAGTGAGAATATCTGGGCTCAAGATTTATTAACCTGTCTGAATTAATCATTTGACTATCCACCAAATCACAGTCTCCTTTCCCTGCCTCTGACATATATACGTGTTTGCGTTCATGATTTACATCATCTATGCCATCCTTAATGAGGCGATATACAAATATAAACAGTTCAGTTTGATCTACAGACGCATTAGACTGAATTCCATCAGCAATGTGATTCAACATATTCTCCAATTTCGATTTCTGTTTTGGAGATAGCTGCTTCTGTAGATGAGCTGTAACAAGAGAAAGGAGCTTCACAGCATGGGTTCTAAATGTGATGTTTTGCGCAACCAATTTGAGGGTTTCAAATGACTTCTGCTTCCGAGTCTCCTTCATTTTTGAAGCAATTTTGTCCACCTCTTTCTGCTCAGAAACATCTCCAAGTATATCAATCTCTATCACCGAAAAAAGATCTTCAAGACAAGAATCCAACTTCCCCCTAATGGGATTGATAAGAAACTTTGACAATATAAAATTCAGGTATAACCAAGTGTGTGCAATTCAGATCCCCTTTTGAGGGTGCCCCTCAAGACTTTGACCATGAATTGTAGGTGCTCCAACCCTAGCTCCTTTAAACAAGCAGCCAAAGCCAATCTAGCCTCATCTCGAACACTCTCCAAGCGATGCTTAAGGAAGTTGGAGATGCGATGAACAATATTTGGAAGTTGCAAATTCATAATTTCACCAGGAAGTAATTTGAGTAACTTAAGGGCAACTAGACTGATGTTCACATTCACATTATCAGAATCAGATAGCAATTCTTGTATCTTGGGAAGCATTGTCTTCTGAATACACGTCTGTATATCAGAAAATTTAGCTGGCTGTGTGCATCTCCTCAATTCTCTAGAAGATATTCCCTCAAAAGCTTCGGCACGAAGGACACCCTCTGCAGGAGTTTCAGAGAAGTGAAAGTGGTCCAGAATACAGCATATTAATCGCAATATGACCTTCTGCTTCTCTCGTTTAGTCATTTCTCGAAAGCAGTTCATTAATAGTTCATAGTACTGTTTCCAGGTCATGCAACCAGCAATTGATGCAATAGCCTCCATACATGCACTTCTGACATTTTCACCCTTCCCCTCTTGTACACCAAATAACAAATTGAAAAAGAGTGGGATAAACACTTTGGTGCTAACAATCTGGAAGGCAACAGCAGCAAAGAAAATAAAGTCATGCAAATGCAGGAAAATGGTAGGATGTGATGCAGTATAGAGCATATAAGAATTACCTCAGAATGATTTCCTGTACTAATGAACTGCGAAAATCGAGAAAGTGCCCTGGCTCGCCTGTGTTTCTGCATGTAGGAAAGGTGAACATATCAGAAGACAATACGTTTAGATCTCTGAATTGCCTCAAATGAAACTAAAGATCAACCATGCATGTCATACAATCGACCGCACAGAGGTCCAAAGCTACCCATAAACAAGTAATTGCACACTTAACCTCCAAATAAATTACTTGTATCGAATAGTACCAATACTTTAAGATGTTGTCTAGCATGGCCAGAATATTACCGATAGCAAAACATAAGAACTACAAAGTAAGCTTAGAATTAGCATCCAAAAACTCCCTCACTGCAAATATTTCCCACTAGCTCCCTAAACTTTACAACTGACAATTAACCTAAGCCAGTTTGACAAAGCACCATGATAAGCCCTTTGCCAAGATAGTTTTAGTTAGCGATTATCAAATCCGTCGTCAAAGCAACTATAAGCAAAGTGATGGCAGATTTATAGACTAATTCCAACCAGGTAGCATAGACCCAGATGTGGAGTCACTACTGTTCCACCATCCAATTCAGAATCCAGGGGAGGATGTCCCAATTAAGGGTCTATTCACTGACAATTCAAAAATCTGCCCAGTGGGTGATCCGAACAGGGCAGCAATATTCGAACTGTGACTTCAGATCCTACCAGTTTACAGCCATAAACAGCACCCTTGGTGCAATGAATAGGTATCATCCCTCGCCATTGCTAACGTGCTATAGCTAGGCGATGTTTTTTAATCGTAAGCATTGGAACAATAATTCAAATCTACAATGCAATAAATGATTTTAACTTGTACGAAGTTGTGGAAAAATCTAATTGCTCTGCCATAAACAAAAGACATATTCAAGTTGCATCTATGTTAGATCACTTATATTCAAAACTTCTCTCATTTTAGGTTTACTTCTTAAATGCTTTTCAATTTCCAATCTGGTATTGTCTCCTAAGCCAAAGATAACCGCTATAACCATATATATGATGAGAAAAGATAGAAGAGACACAGTATACAGGACATCAATCAGTTATTTATACTTTAGACACTAAGGAAGGGAAGAACATGGTAGAACAGTTGAAGTGAATGCATAGAGAATAACAGCTTAGAACCCCCTCTATGGTGTTCATCTTGTGTATCTTCCTATGCTCATAAACTTTCACAAAAAAAAAAAGGAGGGGGGCGGGGGGAACAGCACTAGCAACATGTATTTTTCTCCTAAGAAGTGCGTTTAAATTTGACACCCTGTTTTTGCAACATTCTTACTCAAATATATATGTAATACACAAGAAATTTAGCCATACTATCAAAGGAAAGCTATTCATTTTCATAACAGAAAAGGAAAGACGCAAGAACCCAACACCAAGAACAAACTCTGACGTGCATATATTTCCCAGTTAAAACAAACTCATGAATTACCTGCAAATGAATAACATTATTGAAGAAATCCTGCTCTGGATCTTGACTGTACAAAGTTCCATAAGATTCGAGGTTTGCAACCTTTGGAAGCTTCAACACCATTTCTCGCAGTAAATCAATCCAAAGCTGAAACCAAACCCACAAATATTTTAAACAAATACTTCCATCTTATTAAGAAAAGAGACAGAGACAAGCACCCCCAAAAACAATTAACTTTTGACTTAAAGCTTTATACCTTTTGAACAGAAGTTTCCCTATTCATTGCATTTCCCATATGCTTCAAAAGAAAGCTAGTTACAATATGTTGAATAAGAGCTTCAGTCCAGCACCCTTGATCAGATTTATCCTTTGACTCAACAATTTCAGAGGCAAATTCAACAAAGCAGAGCAACAATCTATATGCACTCTGCCGGAAGATCAACTCTTCAGATGACATGTCATATGCAGACTGAGACAAAATGATCAGTGCATGCTCTTTCCCCACCGTGTGGAAAAACTCCCTGTTGATCTTTTCATATGCACCAATTTAGTGTCATAATCAAGGGACCCAATATCCATTGTGGAGGTTGCATTCATTTCATTCAGAAGCTTTGCCTAGACACAAGAAACTGGGGTTTACTAAAGACAATGATAACCTTGTAACTGAACCAGAAAGAAAAATAAATATTACCACGACAAAGACAGAAGAATCATCTTTAGCAAGAGCATTAAGAACATCACAAATGGACTTCCTGACATCCAGCCCAGCAAATGTAAGCAAGGGAGATACTGAACTCAAAATTTTAGAATTATTTTCACTTCCCACAACTTCAACCACAGATTGAAGTATCTGTAAAATGACAACACAAGAATCTGCCAAGGAGAAATTTAAAGAAAAAATTGGTAGTCAGAATAGGAAGTTGTAAGGAAACAAAAATACATCAAGCAATTATAAGCAAAAGTTAGAAGCAATCTTCAACCAGAGTTTCGGAGTCTCTTTGCGAGAAGTGGAAGCAAGATATCAACAAATTTCTTGGCTGTTAAAGGCTCCGTTATGTACTTCGACAATAATTTGAACACAAAGAGCTCGTTATCTGCAGGATGCCTGACCACATAACAAACGGCATCCACCCCATGATTAGGCAAAAGAAAAAGTGATCTATCAAATATTAGAACTTGTTTCATCTGTTTAACATGCAAATCTAAGCAATCTATACAACTTAATTGTGTCTGGTTAACCATCAATTTATTTAACCATAGAAGCAAGGGTTCTCCTATTGATGTTTCAGTGCTCATCACCCGAGCTGCAGTAGTACATTACCCTACAGAAGTTATTTCTTTAGCTTCTTCCACTTTACGGTGTAAATACATTTTCTTGTGTTCTTTTCCTACTCAGTGACAAATGTATCAGTGGCAACTAGATTAGGTGCTTAGAGCACCAAATAAAACCTTTTTCAAGCATTGCATAGAAATTCATGCTCTTTATCAAATCAGTAGTTACAACAAAATCCGGTGTCCAAAAATGCATAGCATGCATCATTAAGATAGGTAGCAGCTATTTGTCAACTAACAGAGAGCTATTTGTTCATTAATACGACCAAAATAGAGGTAATAAGAAAACAGAAAGAACTATCATGCTAAAAGACACTTAAACATGAAAAACCTGAGACCTTTCCCTAGAAGCTAAAAGCAAATCAAATCAGAGCACAGGTTTATGAATCAACTAATAATACCTGCCCAAATAATAAATGGATTAGGCAAACTGTAGTACCTCTTTGTTCCACTATCAATAGTGAACAGACAGTGTAGACTATCTACAAGTACGTTGAGGTGAGGAAGCAACACTCTTTTGACAGAACCATCCTCAGTCCCCAGCTGACTGTCAAGATTTAGTAAGTTTTCAACGAACTTAAAAACACAAGATATGATCGCATCAGATGCGGTCGTGATGGTAAACATCGAAAATATATCGGGAACAAGATTCTTCTTTCTACCCAACAGTGGCACAAACTTGATGCTTCTACTGATAGCAAGGAAGCAAGAGAATAGTGAACTTGGCTTCTCACTACTCGCACCTTCTTGCTTAAAACTGCCTATTAAAGGACTCGCTGCTGTAAAGAAAAGGTCCCAAAACTCGGAATGAAAATCATGATTCTCATACTTAGCAAGAGCAGAAGAAACAATCTTCAGGCATAAAGATCTCAATTCCTTGAATTGCTTCACAGCTGTGCTAGTCTGCAAACCAAGATTACAGGTGAGAACGACTCTCACGGATTACCTTCATAATTCTCCAACGATTAATCTACTCAAACCCAGCTAGGGGACAAAGATATAGTTAACAAATAATTACAAATTGAGCTGAAGCATTTCTTGTTCCTGAATGGAAAACTATAGATGGCAATGCAATTAACAATAATCCTGCTAAAACTCCCATATATGCACCACTGGTTCAGAGGTAGAGATTAGTAACCAATTTCAAATTCATTTTTCCAATATTAGGTTCAAATACTGCATTAAAATACAAAGGAAAAAGTTTTTAAATTAGGTTCAAATAAGGCATTAAAGTACAAAGGAAAAAGTTCTTAATAAACATACTAACTGAACTAGTTAAGCACAGTTTCAAGCTTACCACAATATCTATTTCCCTGTCAACAATATCATAAGCTGCTGCCACATTGAAGCCAGAATCAGTTAGAGACGGTTCTTTGCATTTTGAGCTCTCTAAAGCAGCCGTGCAGCTTTCGAGTACCCGTACAACACAGCCCATTAGTAGATTAAGAAAAGGATTTATATGGTATTCATCAAAAACAGCTAAAATCTCTTCAATGACATGCAAGAAACCAAATTTCTTCTTCCAAGAAAGCCCCTTTAAGCCATCCACAGTAAATTGCTTCAAGATGCTAATTGAATCAAATTCATCCTTAACGCTCTCTGATGAACTCAAAAGACACTGTCTGCTCACATCAGCTGTTACTGAAGTACCTTGAAGAGGCTTTATCAACAAGAAAAAAAATAGAGGAAGCTCTTGAATGTCAAGCTCAGCTAAGAATCCAAGTATTGCCCTTCTCTGATGTACACTTGCATGCTGGGTTAAAAATAGTACAAAAATCATTAAACCAAATGACATATGTAACAACAGTTAAAAAAAAAAAATAAGCATTCCAGAACAAACAAGAATACCTTTCGAGAAGCAAGAGTTTTTAGTTTCTTGACTTTTGGTACCAATATCCGAATGACAATAGGCACAATGAAATCCCTATGATGTTCATCGATTTCATTAGATTCCCTGGACAAGCTCCACGTCGTTAGCTCCTCTCTCAAATTCTTTGCATTGATCAGATCTTTCAGATGCTGACTGTAAGGAAGTAAGAATTCATCCTTCCAGTTTAAAAGGCAATCAAGAACCTTTAACTGTAACTCAGTATCTGTTTCATCCAGAAGCCTAGAAAATCCCAATAAAAACAGCATGAGTGTGAAAAAATATATAAAGTAAACAATACAAATCCAGCAAGCTCTAAAAGAAATTTTGAATAGGTGTAAACCTATATAGAAAAACATCCTTGATGAATTGGCTCTGATAAAAAGACTTTGGATTCCGCAGCAACCTAAACAAGTTTAACAACTCTTTAAGGGCCTCCTTCCACTCTCTGCCCTTGCAACAATGTACATTGTATAACTCAACACTGCATCATCAAACCAACGAATCAAACAAAAGCTTAAAAAAGCAATCTGGAAGAGAACAGGAAATGAGTATATCTCAAGTAGTCTTGCATAAAGCCCAATAAATGGTTACCTCAAAAGATCATCAACACTATATCCAGAAACTTCAAGAAAAAGGCATTAATTGTCGTGACCGAGTTTCAGCTAGAAATGGAACTTTTTGCAGCGATTGAATCATTAATGAGAAAAGTGTAGCGCACGGCGTACTACCACATGGGGGATTGATAGACAAATTGAAGTATCCAACCAAATCTGAGAGAAATACAAGGCTAATGAACAACGCCTATAATTTACAGCCACAAATGGGAAGCAGGAAAAGAGGAACATCTCAGATCAAGACAACAAAATCTCAAAACAAACATGTTCTGTTGTAAGTAACAATCACCAGTAAGCCATCATCTTCAAAAATTTAAATTTCCATATTAAAATGAAAAGGAAACAAGGATTGCTCCTAGCAAAGATCATAGCATAACATTAGCTCCTAGAGTAAGTATATTGTCTGTCGCATACCACTTGACTGATTAAGTGATTTGGTACCACTTCTGCTAGATTGATCACAAGATATCAGAAACAATGACTGACAGTGGTCCAGATATTTCATGTACGGTTCCCATACAATTCCAAAGTTTTGGCTTATTAGAACAGCAAGACACTCCTTAGCTGGAATCCATAAGTTGCTAAGCCGAATGTGGAAGATGCCAATCAAGCCATATAACAGGGCTGGCACATAATTCTCATCTATCCTCCGGGCAGATACATTCACCTGGATCCGGGATAATAGAAGCTCAATTTTTCTATCAGTAGATGAAGGCTCAGTAGTTTCAACTGAAAGGAGAAGCTCTAGAACCTGACACACAAAGTAATCATAGGGTCAACCTACTGACAACATTAAGAAAGGAAGTAACAGAAAAACTGCTCATACATTATCACCACGAACATCAACATTAAAGGTCTGCATAATATCATTTCCAGCAGTTTTCTCATCTGGCTGTGTGTTAAAAGAAGATTCAAACTTCAAAGGTTCATAGTGGCACAAAATTCTGAGGGTCGACCGTCGAAGCATTTGATCACAGTTGCACAGATTTTCAGCCAATATGTCTAATGCATCGATTACATTCCTGGCTGCAAGATCTGGGTGATATCTTCTAAAGCTGGTGCACCCTTTAATCACAGATCTTCATTGCAAATTAAACAAAGTTAAGAAAAGCTGAAGACTTTATAAATCCAAAAGAGAAATAGCAAGGTATTAGAGATTATGGGCCTATTCTTCTTTTCTTCATATCCTTAAAGTTGCTTTAGGCAAAGTGCTGCCCAAAACTCATTAAGTCTAAAAGTGGAATTATGGTAGTAAGGTCTTCAAAGGAAATAGTTCCTTCCAGTAGCACCTCCTGTGATGCTTTGCAAAACAACTTTTACCTCCAAAATAAGCCAAAAGCAGAAGTCAAAAGCAAACAAGACCACAAAAGTAGCCTTTAGAGGATTAAAAAAAAATTAGAATCAGCTAATTTATGCCACTGCTAACTGGTAGGATGAAACAAAAGCGGGTGTATGGAGAAATAAATATTCAAAGTACACTTAGGCTTACCCAAAATGTGAATCCAAAATATCAGCTATGGGGGCTAATATTTGAGAAGATGAGTGGTATTTTTTTGCCAGATACAGGAATTTGCTTATTGCAGACTCTTCACATCCAGTTCCACTGCTGGAGAGCATTTCTTTATAAGAACCCAAAGCAGCACCAATTAGGCTCTGCCAAGTAAGATCTGCCAATCCTGTCAAGTGAAAATTTTCAAAATATCATTGATAGCAGACCTAATTCTTCCAACTCTATAGAATAGAAAGAGATTCCATTTCCTAACACATCCCAGGTAATTAAGTTACCAATAATTTTATTCTTCCTGTGATTAATCATGTGGCACAACATAATTAGGATAAAACCGATAGAGGTCTATTATTTAAAACAGAACCATCTCTTAAGGACTAAATCCACGGTATTATTTGTATACATTTCCTGCACAAAAATACCTACATGAGTAGGTTTAGAAGTTTGACATATATATATCTGATCTTAAAACATGTGGCATGGCATAAGTCTAAATGTGCTTGTACAAAGATTGTTTTACACTGAAAATGCACAAGAATTAAAGTGATGTCATGCACCATTGAATCTCTCATTGGCGTTGAATAAATGGAAATGAACAATAGAAGAAAATTTACCAGATTCAGTCATCAGAAGCTCATCGATAGCATTTACAAGGTCCAACAGTAATGTCAGATTCTCCTGGCCATTGAACAAATAGGGATAGCATTTGACAGTCCCCCACAGGAGAGCCAGCCTGCTCTGTTCCAACTGAAGAGAAGATAAATCTCCATGTAACGAATTACTGATCATTCCTATCCAGTAACTGATGCTTTGCTGAACCAAATCATAAATTCTTGAAAGCTTGTCTTTTGAGATACCATCTAAGAACGAGAAGCTTGGCATTTTAAGATTCTCACACAATCTTAGCAGCAAATATACAGTTTCTTCTTCTGAAATGTTGGTTAAATCATTCAATGCACTGAAATCCAGTTGCACCATGTCAGAATCAACTAAATATAAGCTTCTCAATCATCATTAACTCAAGTCTATGAATAAGCAAGAACACAAAATACAAGATTCACTAAATTATTCAGAAGATGCATGAGTAATACCTTATAATATTAATCCTGAATATTTTGAGAACATTGGAGTCCCTTGACACAAGGTCTTTAAGAAAAGTCAGCAAACTGTAACCAAGTCAGGATTGTCAGACAGAGAGCTCTTTAGATGAAATAAATAGCACTAGAAGTACTAATCTGATAATATTAAAAGGATTACCCAGGATTCTTCAAACTAAATATGGGAACCAACTGACATGAAAAATCAGAGAGAGCTGACAGGTCATTAGCTTTGTGGGGCCATCAACAATGAACAATGACAGCTGCAAGATTTTAATGACGATGTCTGTAGCTTGTTTTCCACCCTCCTCAGTAACAGGAGGAACATATGTCTGCACTAGCAACCTGACTAGCTTAAACATAGGCTGGTAATCTGCACGATAAAATGGAGTAGCCTCAGAGAAAAGAGTAAGCACCGCAAAGAAGCAGTAGAACAGAACAAGAAAAACCATAAAGCAAATTGTACTGCACCGGAAATTTTCTTCATAAACCATTCTCCACAATTAATACGAGTACGGAGAGAAGTCGACTGACGTGCATTGAGTGACCATTGGTTACTGATTCAATTATTTCACCATATAAGCAATCCCAAATCAAATTTAATTCCACAGGCCCTGCCTCATTGCTCAATCTCTGGAAAGTCGATATGACAATTTCAAGAAGGCAGTCTGGATCTGCAAAATGTAAATATCAAGAAAGGATACGAGACATAAATAACAATAACTGGAAGTCAAGTAAAAAGGAAAATAAATTGTAAAATCACTTGATCTAGATGAATTTCAGGAACCTAACAAACTTTGAGAGATGGATCAGTTAAAAAACATGAAATGCAGAAAACTACGAGTCACATAACATTTATTTGAATCATAAGACAACCTGATACCAAGGATGCACTGTAGTGTCACATTATTAGATTGCCTGGTTGAAAAGAACATCGGGATTACACTCATACCCAATCAAAATGTTAACCCAACATGAATCATAGCAAATCAGGGTTCAAATTCTTGACACCAAAATTGATAATGAACATGACATCAGCATGATCTCAGGTAACACTTTGCCAAATAGATTGGTTTTCAAACGATTTAAGTCCATCAGTTAATAGAAATATCAAAGAAAATTGATCACTCATGTGAACTGCAGTAATGACCTCAAGTAAAGGAGTTGCATAGCTACACCATTTGACTTCACACAATTAAGTTGTGCTCTGAGAACAAGGTCATGCATCTAAATTCGAGAAGAACTAAAAATAAATAAACAAATGATTCAATAAATAAAAGTCTGGAAATAACCGAACTTCCTTTTTTCATGAGAAGGTAAACCGACACAAGAACTTGGGGGACAAGAAAATTGAAACTACAGAACATGAGCATATAACCTAAACAAATAGTAAAAAATCTCATATAACATGAATATATGAAACAGCATATAACACTTCACGATGATGCCCACACTGATAACAGAATATCCTATCCACATAAAGAAAAAGTAATCAATCTCCATAGTTTTATTATTCAGTGCTCTTCACACTGCCACAATCTTAGATATGACAGGAGCAAACTTATTGGACGCCCTCCTGAGCAAGACTAAACCATCTTTAACACACAAATATTCACTCGAGTCTTCACAGAGAACAGTTGACGACACCTTTCAGCCAAGAATTCATAAAGCCATTCTACTGTATCATTTTTACAACCAATAGATTCCGCTTCACCTTTTAATATTTTCCCCTTTGAGGGGGACAGCTTCCTATCTTTTGCAGTCTAGAAGGATCTTCACTTTCAATCAGGATTATCTAAAGGCATTTAATATACAGGTGTAAAAGTAATTGGAAACTGTTCCTTTCAAGTAAAATGGGTACATAAGTATCAATCTATTGGAGTAACTAAACAGCATTTCTGAAGCAATAACATCACATTTCAAAAGTTCATGAAAGACTATTGGAATATTAAATCAAACAACTAATAAAAAAAATGCACGCAATTCTAGATGCAGGTAAATTAGACAATAATGAGTTGCTTATAGTGATCTAGGAATCCTAAACAAAAATGACTCTTTAAGTGCACTATATCATATGCACTAGTATTATTTCTATCAGTACCAATATCCATACTAAGAGATGCATTAGCATAGAACACAATATATAGAAAGCATATTCAGAATAGTATCGAATAGCTCCAAAGGAAGCAGGATTCAAGCATATGAAGTGACAATACATTACTGAAAAATATGAATAACATGCGAAGGCTGAAAATGTCACCTTCCAAGAGTTGATCACCGATGCTGAATAAGGACTTGTCCAATAGAAGCTGCAACACTTGTGGGCCCTTGAATGCAATGTTGATGACGAACCTCTTATCACATGCCACAATAATTCAGTAGCACCACTTTTCCTCTCAGCCAATGGATTCTTTACGACCTCAATCATGATTTTCCTAACACCTGCTGAGCTTAAGAAGTTAACCTATTTTTCTATTGTAAATGGAGAGTAAAAACCAACAGAAGACACTCATACGTAACAACATCATATTAGTTTGGCTCTCAACAACTAGGTAAGTAGAACCATTAAGTATAGAGACATGAATATGCCACTTCTGAAATTGATTTCTCATCAGAAGTCCAGTCAACAAAGGAGAAGGGCACATATGTTGAGATGAGAAATACTATTCCACTGATATATGTCAAAACTTGCAAGTGCTAACCAAGAGATGGAAAGCAAACTGGCCCCCAGGACAACAAAACAGGCAATTCACCCTACAAATGCCGTCACTCCTTTCTCAAAACCATAACATCCAAATTGGTAGGCCTGTTTGGACAGCTTGAGGTCTACCTTGGAACTAAAGTTTTAAATGATGCAAGGAAGCATATGACATTAAGAAACTGTAGTTTTCTGCCACAAATGATTTATGAAATAAGAAGTTAGTGCAATCTCTACATCACAGACAAATCAAAGCTTTTCATCCCTACAAAGAACGAGAAAACAAGATCAATATTGTTAAGAATATGATAATTGAGCAACCAGAGTTCCAAAAAAGCATCACAGGCAATATGGGAAGCAAAGTAAATCAAATTTATTTTTTTCCTTTTTTTTTTTGGGGCTGGAGGGGGGGGGTTGGAAATGCAAAACGGAGAAGAAACGACAGCATGTGGAGCATGATGAGCAGAGGACCGGTGCAGTAGTTGTGAAATATCAAGGTATAGAAGGAGAATCAGAAGAGAAAAAAAGGTGAAGGAAAGAGCAGTGTCTTCCAGAAGAAAGGAATAGCACTTGCCACCAGGGAAAATAGAGGAGGAAAGCCTTTACTTATACCCGATATGATGTCCAATTCTTGTGAAGGCATCTTCCAGTGCAACAAGGTCCATGATGAAGCACTACAACCCTAAAAAACTGAGCCTCATAAAAGTAGGAGCAGTAAGAAACTTCAGATTTGCAGTATCTATTTTTCTTTTCTTTTCCCTCTTGTGAAATTTGGCTCAAGTCGAGTTCTGTCAAAGCATTCTGAAAAAGATCCCCTTCTACCCAGTATGGCTGACCTAAATAAGCAAGAGCTAAATGCCATGTCAAAGTATTTGAAGAAGGAACTCCAGCTTCTGATTGGGTGATTTAATCCTATTCATAGTACTAGTACACAACAAATATCTGCATATGCTCTAAACAAGTTCCCCAAAACACTTTGATGGAAGCTCATGACAGGTAGGGACTCAATGTGCAGGGTGTCTATAAGCATGTACACACGTTACAAAGAAAATCTCCAGGTTCTTCTCTAAGAAAAGCCTAAAACCTTTATATCAAAAAGCTTGTTCACAACCTCATAGTAAAGGAGTAATTTTTCCCAACGGTTTTTAACCATCCGAAAATCATCATCCCAAAATTTCATACTCTTGCACTTTGATATTTGTAACGCATCCAAATCATATGGCCTCAGTAGTTTTCATCCATTAGGAAACAAAAAAAAAGTCAAGGAAAAATGTCTATAAAGACCAGTATTTCATGAAAAATGCATCCCCTTAAAAACACTGAAAGCATAATCCTTGTCATATACAAAACTCAATAACAACATTCTTTAAACTATTTTTCATTTAGTTTGTCTTATCCAAATCTCTAGTATGCGACAATCATAAATTTATCGTCGTCATATTTAGACAGGAGAAATGCTTAGTAAACAAGCATAAGACTATTACTTGTGGAAAAAATCAGCTATTACTCGTGCAAGCAAGGAATGTAACAGATGTCACATCAAGCAAAGAGCATTCTTATTCCCAATGGAACATATTTGTTAAAAAAAAGGAGAGAATTCCAAGTTCCTCTATTTAAGTAAGCCCAAAGGCAAAAGTTCAACAGAATGAAGCACAATAAGTAATTTGCAGAAAAAGACTAGCCATTCAGGTATATTGACATTTTTGTGCATAATCACTTGGCTATATGACCACTAAGACCTTTGCATTCATAAACCTGTACTTCAGTTCTGCGTCGACTTTTCATAAAATACACCCTAGATACCCCAAAAAAAAAAAAAAGAACAGATCAGACTTAAGATAGTTCCACAATAACATTCTTAGAAGAAGTTGTTCTTATAAATTTATACCCTCCCCATTCAATAACCTTGTCAAACCTACTATACTGGGACATATAAAATCACGTTCACCTTTCCTAAAACATCACTCTAGTACCTTTCTTTTCCAATGTAGAAAACGTACAGAAACATGGCATTTGCTTGATTTGTAACTGGAAAGTGCAGCTCAAAGTTTCCATCCAGAACAACACAAGCCAGTACATGCATATTTCCAACAAGAATATTTGTATCAGTTAGACTATAGATTTTCACTTTTAAATTGTATATCTACAAAACTACTGAACCTGGCCAAGTCAAAAAACTGATAACTCTTTTAACATAATAATTAAAGACAATACCTTTTATAAGCTGCTCAACAGGTGCATTCCTGAGTAAGAAAGAGACGGACTCCGCCACAAATTTTTGTATGCTACCATGTGGATAGTATCTCAGTTTCACTGTTACTCTGTTATACACAGACAGATAGAGCAAGCGAGAGAGAGAGAGAGAGAGAAGAAACATTAGAATTTAAAGTATAGTTCGAGGAATTTTTCTACAAATCAAACCATTTACATGATAAATACAACAGGGAAGACACACTGAATGTGCACCAATAAATCAACAAAGCCAGTCAAGCTTCTTGATTTCCATAGATTTACTTCCAACCCATGTTTGAGTTTACTGTATTCTCTCAGATATAAGTGGATTTCTATAGATTTGTGGCAGCAATAGGTAGTACAAGAACAATTAACCTCAGTTTTCTATACTTTGTTGAGAAATACTCAAGAAATCAAACGAAGTTGTTTAAGAAGCAATTTAAAACCAAAATTTGGCATTCATATTCTCCTTACATCCAATAAAACACTTAACATACATGCACACACATATAAACATGGATAAAAGCAACTTCCATCATATGTACTTACTTTAGCACATGAATGACATCCTTTATCAGATATTTCTGCAGGAACATCATAATGTATGACCATGACGTAAAAATCTGAGGAAGCCAAATTCACAATTTCAGCATCTAGTATTCCGAATTAGATATTGCATCAGAATTCAAAACAAAATAACACAACAAGATACTTGGCTTGACCTGCTTAATTATGTCTGGATCCTTATCACCACCATTTTTCAGAAGAAATACTATAGCATTCACAATCCTCTGGAGAAAGCTGGGACACAGTCAAGGAAACACCCACAAAAAAAGGACGCATTAGGAGTGACTTAGAAGACAATATTGCTGCGAAAGGGTAGGAATTAAGAATTACCACTGGTCCAGTCACTGAATATCATGCACTTCTAACAAAGACAAACATGCACAACAGGAGCCAGCATACAAGTTAAAATTGTTAAATTAATAAACGTACAAGCATGAGTTGTCCATATTTCTACATGGCCCCAGGAACCCCAGTGCCAAAAAAAATGCCAGAAAGGAGCAAAAGAGAGCTAATTGGGAAACTCTAACTGCTAACAAAAATTGCCTTAAATGTTAAGCGGAGGAAAACTTGGGTAACAGCAAATTCATTACAATTTTTGCAATCTGCATGCAGAGCTCATGAACTCCATCACGCACATACTGCAACACAGGAGTGTAAGCCAAAAGATTTCTCAAGCACTTGAAAAAAATGAACATAAGACGGTAATGTGATGCAGAAGAAAAATTAGTTGGTATCTATGAGTTAAGGTTGATGAATCTGTATCTGCCATTACTGTAGCAATGTAGGTTTTTAGTTTTTTTCAGGGATTGATTCTCATCATGTTCTTCTCTTAGCTGACCTGGAACTGATTGAGGGACCCATTGGATTCAATTTTTGGGAGGAAAATTTTCTTTATCTAACCCTATACAGTTGGAAATCTATAAAGTACAATGCGTTTCACTAAGTCTTGTTTAATACAAAATGTGACTCTTATATATTTCCTTCTCATAGCACTAAAATATTATGCTAAATTCTGTTTTCCTTATTCTTTTCTCTTGCTTTGGGCTATGTCACGCGAGAAGTGACACTAGCCATAATTATTGATCTCTCATTCTCAGATTCTGAAAATCCCAAATACTGAAAGAAAGGCAACAGGAAAACCTCCACAAATATACATATGGATCTCACTACAAGCATAGTAAACTGTCAGGAAAGAGAAACTTAAAAAACATGAAAGCCTCAGATAACATATATGGAACTTACGGCAAAAAATCCTCCAGAAGATCCCTTGATAATGTGGCTACCAACCTGCCAGAAACAGAAAAGCCACATATGCACCCAGCAATGTTTAACAATAAACCGCAAGGGAATCAATACACACTTAATTAGGAGAATGACAATCTGTAACTAAACAATACTTTATGTCAAAAACTTCCATGGCAAACCAGCCATCCACCTTTACAGTTTACTGAGGTGAGAGTTGAACACGTTGCAATTAAATAAGAAATGAAATAAACTAGAAAACTAGAAAATCCACAAGTGCTTGCTTTTGCATCCGAGATATGATTCAGGATGTGATTAAACCCATTTCACTAACTCAGGCCTCTACAACTACATTAGTGTAGTTCTAAAAGGTATATATTCAGAATAAATCTTCACTCGAAAAATTTTAGTTCCAATATCGAGAACATATGCCTACAATGATCCAAGTTAAAACAACAGGAAACGCTAATAATATTAAAGAACCAAAAAAGAAAAAGGCCTTGAGCATTGATTTGTTTTTCCTTTCCACCATTTTCCAATCTCGATGAGACAATTCTTCAAAAACATACATAAACACCAAATTTGCAAGAATACCTGAGTATTGGCTCCAGTGATAGCCTGCTTTTTATTTGTAATCTAGAAAGCAGTTTTGAAACGATCAATTCCTTTTGCAATATAATTTGTGGTAGGGTTTGTACCAAGGGGAACATTTCTTGATAAAATGAAATAAAATCCTCAGCAGTATTTAATTCCTGCATTTGTCAAAAAAAAAAAGACAACAATATCAGCAGAATTTAAATGTGAGATGGAAGTGTACAAATTTTTGCTCTCTCAAAAAGGTATAATCATATGAAGTTGGATAGAAAGGACAAAACAAACAGCAATCTAGAAATATCCAAGACACATAATAAATTCCTGACAAGTACACCCAGACAGAAGCAGACAGACCAACCATGCCATACATTAGATCCATAACCTTGTGGATAGTTTCCAGCACAGTAACATAGAGGCTGAAAACCAATATGGAACAATGCCAAGAATCTTCTTTAGACCTTCCTGCCTAGGCAAAAATACCAAAGGAAGAAAACAAGAACTTCCAGAAAATATTCAAAACAACCCTCACTAAACATGATTCTGATCATGTCACCTTCATAAATTACTTATCCTAACACAAACTCCTTTGCCTTGAAAACATTCTTTGGTGCATTAGAAGTAATAGCACTTCCTACGTCAAAAGGATGCCATTGATTTACTCCTCCTACCTCAAGCAAGATATGGACCACACCTTCATTTATTTCACATTAACTTTGTAGATTAAAGACAGTGCCAAAACTACTAAAACTAATCTGCCTGTATATGCCAGTAGATTAGTCCACAAAGCCAGAAGCGTCATCCTCATCTAGTCACTGTTACATCAAAACCACCAAGATTCTACACAGCAAAATCAACATCTCCAAAGCACATTGTCCAGCACCGCAAAACCCCCTGAAAAATCCCCCTTACCAATTGAAATTCCCAAACTAACACACTTAAAATAAAAATAATTTTCTAGCTTCTGAATAAAAAATGAACTTTTTGAAAGATATATGGCAGAAAAAAAGAAAGCCACAACTAGATTCCATGTATTGCTTATATTGCACAAATGGCTTCCTGAATCCTTTAAAAACATAAGCAGGCACCTATAACTGATGTTTAAAACCAAATAAGTCGGAACAAAGCAGATGAAAAAGCTTTTCTTGAAATGCTACCCACTTTTCATGTAAGCTTAGCAGTTTCTCCCGATGTGCAGACCATCAAATTCCAAAATCCAATAAAATATGTCTCATATTACTTTAATGTTTCCTACTTGTCGTCTAAAAATGAAATCTTTATCGTAAAAGAACAGCCAAAAAATGTACTGATATCCGCAATAAGAACCCTTGAGAAATAGCTGCACAAGTTACACCAAAAAAAAAACTACAATTCAAATCACAATTACTTCAGAAATAGAAGAATATTGAAACATACTCTCCATTCAACTAGGCAATCGCGAAAAAACGTGGACCCTTCAAAAGGCTCAGATTTAACAGGGTCCAAACTTCGGTATACATTAATATCAATCTCTGCAATTTGTTGAACATTGGACTTGTACTGCACCACCCCAAAAAAAAAACTTCAGAATTTAAAAAAAAAAACAATTCCATAATACTCTCATCAACCAATAAGGAAAAAAAATGAACAATTTGAATAAAAAGAACTGCAATTTTTTATTTGCATACAAAAAATTAAGAAAGATAGATAGCTTACAACAAATTTCTTGCTTCCCTCGCCTGTGTTTAGAGACTTTACGGCTCGAGCGTCCGCGGGCGTCGCCATTGGTGCATCTACCCAAGCTCAATCTCTGGAAAAGGGAGGGAGAAGGGGGGAGGGTTTAACAATTGAACCGGTGAAGTGAAAGAGTCGAGGTTCAACCGGTAGGACCGGTTCAACCCCGATTCAATAAATAAATAAATAAATAATTATATATATATATAGACACACACACACCTATGCACAGAATAAGATATAAATGCTAAACCAAAATTAACATAAGTAGGGGTGGGCACGAGTCGGGTATCCGCCCCTAATGGTAAATGGCTGACCCGACCCTAATATGTCGGGTTACTATTTTTTTGATCCTAATCCGCTCCGCTTGTCCTCGGGTATGGTACCTGATCTTCAGATACCCGAAAAATAGGGGCGGGTCATAGGGTACCCGCCCCTATTTAAAGAATGCAAATTCCTGTATGAATGCAAATTCATAAGATGAACCTGCCGTACGTCCAGCCAAAGACATTCATGATTTAATAATCAATTAATCACAGATCATTAACTAGCTCTAATAGTTCACCAACAACTATGGATGGTAAGTGGAGTTTAAACTTTCATTTCCTACCTTTTATGGACCGTATCCATTAGGCAGAGAATGCTATTTTCGCACGGCAATATATTGGAATTGCTGGACTGCCAGAGCCTTTTAGCCTCTTTAACACACGAATGACAACAAACAACTCGGGGTGAGCATTCGGTGCAAATGCGGTAAATCGGTGCGCTGAATTCGGTTTTTTCGGTTATTGCAGGGCATTACCGAATTCATGCGGTACCCGATTTCAAATTCGAAAACGGTAATGAATTCGGTCTGAATTCGGTTAGACCGAATTCATCTATTATTTAAAAAAAACCTGAAGCAAATTAAGAGAATATATAAACCAATCTTTATAGTTCAGCAACTACCAACCCCCGCAAGCCATTAGATGTTTCTCTTTCACATTGCAGAAAATTCATATCCAGAATCCTAGGTACAACTTCTGGAGCCGTACTTTCACTAGATGTGCACCAGAGATTGAGAATCTCCACGGAAAAGGAGGTAAAATTTTCATTTTAGCAAGTTTTTTCCTTTTTAATTTTTCTAACGGGTAAAAGGTGGAATTTTTCCCCAAGGCCTTACCTTTTAAAGGCTGCACAACTGGAGAGAGCTTCTTGTGTATAAAATACAAAGCTTATGTTATATCACACCTAATCTAAACTACTACAACAGTTAGAGTTTGCAATTGGAAGCTCAGATTTCGTCCCCTTATCAATTCAGGATAACAAATTTCCTAGTCGATCTTGGCCCATTTTAATGCCAGAGACACAGAGCCAAAAACAGAGGAGCACTTACCTAAGTGAGCCAGAGATGAGCAGTGATGAACCAGCGATGAACTAGTGAGATCTTGGTGCTTCGTCTTCGACACTCGGCAGCGATGAACCAGCACGGCAGGACACAGCCGACAGGAGACGTAGAGCGCGGCGGACTGGCGGAGGCCGGAGAGGCAGAGAGCAGCTTCGATTTGGGAATTGGGACTTGGGACTTGGGAGTGTTAGTGCTGTGAAAGCCCTAGGTGACGGCAGTCACGGCACTATGCAATATTGCAAATTTGCAATGGTTGTTTTCTCACTTTTCAATTTTCATCAGCTGAAGATGAAATCCGACTTTTTCCGAATGAAGTGATTTTGTAATTTTTAATTTACAAATTGGGGCTCCTAAATTATAATACATTCATTATGCTCCTCAATGATTTAAAAATTATTACTAATTTGATCCCCAAATTTATTCATAATTGAACACATTACTTATGTTCAAATCATTTTGTGGTTTAATTGGCATTTATTTGATCACTTATACCTAAAATCCTTGGTATATGATTTAAAAAACACATAAAAAGTGATTAATTTAAATTAATTTAGTTAGTAGTTACAATGAATTTATAATTTACAATGATTAATAATAAGTAATATTAGTTACAAACTTACAAATTACAATGAATCAATGACCAGTGATAAATTACATTAGTTACAAACTTATAACTTATTTTAAATCAAAATAAAACTTATTTACTTGATTTGCAACTCACATGTATTCACTTACACTGTTTAGTTATTTTGTCTATACTTAAAGCCTTAAGATTAGTAAATAAATAATATAAACTTTTAACTTATTTGATCACTTATACCTACAATCCTTAGTTTATGATTTAAGGAACACATAAAAAGTGATTAATTTAAACTAGAATAAACCTTAGACTGTACAATGGTTAGTAATAAAACTAGAATAAACCTTAGACTGTACAATGGTTAGTAATAATTTATGAATTTATAATTTACAATGATTAATAATAAGTAATATTAGTTACAAACTTACAAATTACAATGATTAGTGATAAGTTATGTTAGTTACAAACTTACAATTTATTTCAAATCAAAATTAAACTTATTTATTTACATATGTTATTGTGAAAGTCAATACACTAATACATTGATTTGTAATTCATATACATTCACTTACACTACTTAGTTGTCTTATCTATATTTAAAACCTTAAAGATTAGTGAATATGTAATGTAAATTTAGAGTACACTAATACTTGCAAGTTATAGATTACGCATTCAAATATTCAATAATTCAAACATGAATGATGTATCAAATTACCAATATCTAAATTCTAATTACTAATTATGTTTATTATTTAATATTTAGTATGATACATATATGTATTAATTATTATCTAATTCTAGTCATGTTACTCATGTATAAAATAATAAGTATTATAGTTATCTTATATTGTAATGTATTACTATGCATTATTGTAATGGTATAACAATTAATAAATACTAAAATAATATAAATATATTGTACATCATTATATATTATTAGTATTATAAGTACATGATATGATGATAATACCATATACTAATTATTATTAATAACATTTACTTATATAATATAATAAAGTATTAGTAGTATATACTAATACTAAATAGCATTTATCTATATATTATATAATTTTATATATTAATTTGGTATTCGAATGCGGTAATGCGGTACCCGATTTCAATTACCAAATTTTGAATTCGAAATCGATTATTACCAAATTCATAATCTCATTACCTATTTTATACCATATTAGAATTCGGTGAATTTGGTATGCACCGAATTGGAACCAAATTACCAAATACCCGATTTCAAATTACCGAATTGAATTTGAAATCGGTTATGAATTCGGTACGAACCGAATCTGCTCACCCCTACAAACAACGGAACAAGACATACATATTCAACCGTTGGACTCAAAAGATACGGCCACTTTTGTTCCTTAAAAAGTTTAAACATTTGAAAAACAGAAACAAAAATGGTACTTTCGAGAGTGTTAATTCAACTGTTGCATCTAAATTGACAGCTTTTGGAATGTCAATTTAACCCAAGATTTATCAATGCTTCATTTCCCATTTAGAACCAGACTTGTTCTAGGCTAATATAATACAAGGGAAATGAAAGACCAGAAAACTAAAAGGAAAGTACAAGCCAAATCGCTTTTCAATGTTAAATGACTACATCAGGCAGGTTAAATTTACAGCAGAAAAGTTCGACATCAGGCAGGTCGGCGTTCTAAAAAAAACAAAAAAACAGACCTGCGAAGGTCGGCGTTCTACACGAAGCTTGAGGCTTGAGAAATCAAAATCGAAGGTCTCTATTGAATCTTCTGCTTGAGCCTTGAGCCTTGAGTTTTGAGAATCTTTTGCAACTTTCTTTGATTTCAACAAAATTGAAGAGATGGAGAAAGGAGTCGTCGAGAAAAAGGAGAAAGTGAACAGACTGTCGGCTGAATCTGAAGTAGCCTGATGGATTCATTTTAGGTTAGGATTAATAAGTTAACAATATTATACAATTACCCTTATATTTTTAATATTTATGTATTATACCCCCGATTCGGGTGCCCACGGGTTTTTATTTTTATGATCCGTATCCGTATCCTAATTATGAGGACTCGAAAATTCTATTATTTTTAAAATCCCTAATTTTGGCTAAATTAATTATTTATTTGGATTTTTGCCACGAATAATATTTTCTAACCTTATTAGATCTAAGTACATGGTTTTATAGTTTCGTTATATTTTTAAAGTGTCTCATTTCAAAAAATTTATTTTCTTAAAAGCTTGATTAGAAAAAAAAAAGTGTGAACGTGTCTAAACACTTTAGCCAATTGGAAGTGCAATAAGCTCAAAATTTTGAGATATATACAATGATTCTAAAATAGGCAATTTTAGGTTTAAAAACTCAAGTGATAGTTGGTAGTACGATTGTTATAAGAATTTCTCGAAAGTTTCATTTTATTGCGCCTACATTGGAAATACGTGTTTTCACGTGCGCGCTTAATTGAGGGACTTTGGACAATTATTTTGGGACAATTAAGAATGAATAATATTTATATGAATGTAAGTGCCCTAAAGATTTAGTGCACTAGTGCAACAAACTTAAAAAAATCGAACACAAATGCGCGCGTAGGCGCATTAGTTGCAATTGATTTTTACGTATTTAAAATATTACACGAGTAGCGTTCCTTATACGCCAAAGGATCAGCAAACTATTTCCTTTCTTCAAGCTCCTTGGACAGCTAGCAGCTGCAAAGAAACAACCAAAAACTTTCAACATTCCTTCTACAAATCTTACTCAATCTACCAAACTCTCTTAAAAATTCAACTACATCTACCTCAACACTTGGGAAGTCCATTTAGCTGCAAAAGGAAGGAGCTATCCACGGTTTTCTTCAAGCTTCAAAGGGCTGAAACTTCTGTCTTGACCAACCATCAAAGTAGGTAATGATCTAATACCTTAAACTTGTCCTATGGAAGTTAAATTACACTTATAAGCTTGAATTTGCATATGGGTTGTGGTTGATGTTGGAGAAATTGGAAAAGTGGACTCTATGAATTCCCACTCTTGGGTTGTTGCTGATTTTGTACTTGATGATATTTATAATGTCGGATTAGTGTTTAAGTTAGTGGTTTGTTGAAGGAAAATTGTTGGAAACTCACGTTGGGTGCAAAGGCCAAATCTGACCATTTTGTCCCTGCTTTGTTCGGCCACTTTAATGCAGAAATTTGAAGATTTAATGGCTTGATTGTGTTGTTTACATGTTGTAGAAGTTGTGTACAAATTTTCATTGAAAAATGTTGAGTTTTGGTTGATCAAAAGAATTTATTTCCCAAAGTTGGTAATCTGGAAACGGTTGCCGTCGTAACCAAACCAGTGTTCGTATTTCGTCCATAACTCCGTACTCCGACGTCGAAATCAAGTGTCGTTAGTGGCATTTGAAACTAGACATACCCATCTTTCCAACAGTATATAATGCATGTTCTGGTTCCGTGTGTGTGAACCGCACCACTCTTCTGAATTCAGTTGCCCTGTTTCTCCGTTCTGCCGAAATGATTTGATGATGCTGCAACTCTAGGCTTAATTTCGAGCCAGTTGCATGCTGAAACTTAAAATGATTTCTTCTGTGAAATTTTAGCCCTATGAATGTATTTTCTAACAGTATCAACCATGCCCAAATCCAAGTTAAATTGAATGAGTTATGATCAAAATACGGTGACTGCCTTGTTCTTGAAAACCTTAGATTTGGACAGATTAGATGTGAGATTTGTTGTGGCCTTACCAAATGAATTTTTGGTGCTAAACACCTACCAAATGTACCATGTATACTCCTTAGACTTTTCTTGCACAAATGAACCATGGTTGGAGGTTTTCCTTAGCCGAATGTTTGGAAACGAAGAGAAAGAGAGCTAAAGGCAGTTTGGCCTTAGTAATTTCAAACTTTGATTGATTGGTTAACCACATTTCCGAAGGTATTTTTCCACGAAATTTGATAGATAGATACCCTTCATATAGGAGTATTATACTGCAAATTTGGTATCAATCGAAGTCCATTTCAACACTTAACTAAAGGTCAAAAGTCGGAACCAAATCTGGAAATTTTGTTAACAGTCTTGAAATTTACCCAACTTTGAGCTACCATATCTTAGTACTCGAAACTCCGATTCTCGATCCGCTTGTTCTGTCCTAAACCTTACTTGCACCTCTAATTGAGTTATAAATTTCAAGGACTGGTTTGCAACGAGTAAATTCTCGAATTTTCAAAGTTAGCGAAAAATCAACCCCTGCTCAATTTTGGGTGATTTGGAACAGCAACTTTAAGCTCATTTTTGAGCACTTTCCATTTCGATTCATGGAAAAGCGTCTTCTAAGAACTTGTAGTACTTTCTAAGAGATTTCCAACGATATAAAGTTTTCCAATTCTCGACTTATGCCGAGTGAGTTACGATTTTTCAAAAATTCATAACAAAACTGAAATTTTTCAACTTTCAAGGAAATAGAGTTTTTCAAGAACTCTTTATTCTTTTGATATTATCTAAACATTTTATCCCCGATTTCCTAGATAAAGCTTAAATACTTTTGAATGTTATCAAACCCCTCTCGATCTCGATTTACGAGTAATTGAGATTCATTTTCACGGAATCCCCTAGATTAATACTAGTGAACGAATTATTCCTCGATATTTGGGATTTGAATGATAATTCATTATTATTTGCTCAGGTGCACACGAGGAACTTTCAAGAGGATCCCACGGTGGACGCTTGAACTTTCCTTGACCTTACTTACACCTAATACTTGATGAGTGTCAGGTGTATGTAAACTTGTTACATGTTTAATTGTTATTAATGATTGGAAATCTTGAAAGTGGAGTCGAGTGTGTACTTTACCACACTCGTTCTCATTAGAAATGAAATATTAATGGTTGAAATGTATTGAATGAATGATTGAAATGCATTGAATGAATGATTGAAATGTATTGAATGAATGAATGAAATGTAATGGTATGCTATAGTTGCCTACGTCGTTGGAGTGAATCTCCTCGACACACAAGTGCACATGGGGACGCCCAAATTTTATTGACCGACCTTGAACTCGAGCAGGCATGGGCTTGGTCGGGAACCTTGGTGAGCCATGAGATATATAAATTTGACCTAGTGAGAGGTCTTGTTTGGCATACTCGAGTAGTATCGCCACAAACAAATGACAGGCGGGCCCGATACAGGGGTATATAAGGTGAAAGGGGACAGGTTAAGTGAAGTTCTACGGACTAAACCTACCCGATTGACGGAGTGTCAATTCGTGGAGGTTATTGAATGTGCAAGTGGAATATAGCTCCTGAGGGCTCCAGTATCCTTAAATTGTTTTTGGTTATATTTCAGTAAATTGTTAATTACTAAAATATGATTGTTTGACTTGTAAATTGAGATTGTTATTTGAGCAATGTGCTTGTATGTGTGTTCTTGGCCTCACGAGCGTTTTTGCTCACTCTGTAGATTTGTTTTCCTTAAAAGGATTGAACTTGGCGAGGTATCGAAGAAACCTTCTTGCTACGCTTTTGTTCAGGGTTTCTATTACTTTTGACTTTGTCTTGAATTTTGGGTTGTATTTTGGAATTCGAATGTAACTTTTGGAGCATGATATATATTTGGGATATATGATGGTTGTTGAACACCCGATGTGCGCGTTGGATATCAGATAGATGATTTTTATTAAACTTGAACGCTTCCGCATTTATTGTATCTAAGTTATTGACTCGTATGGTGTGTCGTCGGCAATAAGTTTAAATGGAATTGCTTGAGTCCTGGCGAGAGTTAGGCAGGCGTCCCGCGGATACCCTTTGGTTCGCCTTAGGGAGAAGTAGGGGCGTCACAGTTGGTATCAGAGCGGCTAGATTAGAGATCTATATGGGAGACATATTGGATACTCTACTCTTAAAATCTGAGCTTTTTAAGATATCTCATAAATTTTCATTTCTATGCATAGAATTTTCAAGAAACTTTTTTTTACCCAATTAATTTGTTAATATGCCCCACTCACAAAAAGAAAATGTACAATTCAAATGTTGTGTTGTAAAAGAATTTCTTTCTACCTTGATATTGATAAAAAATATTAATATAAATATGTACCTATATTTGATCTGGTAACATTTTTAATAAAAGAATCAAGTACCACACGTAATCCATCGCTTTAAAGATGTTTCAAATACTACCTCAATAAATTAATAGTTTAGTTTACTCCTTACTGGTGATTTTTTTTAATACAGAAAAAATTCGTGTTCTACTTTAGTAGGTTCCTTACACCCCCTTATCATTTTTAATAATAATGGATGCCGCTACTTCATATTTCTTACTATGTGTATTTATTATTGCCCAATACTATTTGCAGAGCTTTGTTTTCATTGTGCCCCAACTGAAAATTTTCTGGCTCCGCCACTAGTCAGCAGATGGAACCAACTAAAGGTATTTCAACTAAGTATCCATATATTTCCACTGAGGTTTTCTCATTCTCATAACTTTATCCCATCTCCACATCAGTGACATTTCTCCTTTAAACAGACTCATAATTCCTGATAGCACAAAAAAAAAAAAAAACTTCACCTATAGAACAGAGTCCACAACTTTCCCTGTGCTGCAGTACTCCATAGATGCTGTTTTTCACCCACATACCAGGAGACACTATACTCAATAATGGATTTAACTGAGCGAGAACTGACACGCCCAATAAGCAGCTTTATAGAAGCACCAGTCATGGAACGGACTTTGTTGTCATGGTCATTAGCCAAACAAACCACCAGATGCACAAATATCGTCTGTGACTGCTCATCAAGAA